AGTCTGTTTGCATTAAACAATTAGTCCATTTTACTCATTTTGTACGAAAAAATATTTTGTGAAATTTGACCAACTACTGCGGTGCCGATTTTTTCGTCTCATACAAAGAAATGATCCCCTCATGAAACAGTTGATCAGCACAAAAAAACTTCGATCAATTATAATTCATTTACATGGACAAAAAATTGTCAGTACCAAAATTATTTTCACAAAAAAGATTGAATGGTTCCTAAGAGAGTTTCCTTGTATATTCTATGGTCTCGAATTTTCTCATACTGCCCCATTAAAGAAAACACTCTGTAGTATATCTTGATAACTCCAATTAAATATTATTATTTGACTTTAAAAATTGTTCCCATAAACAAAAAAATAGATGAAATATCTTTTCACAGGGAACTATTGATTATTTAACTGTTTTGAAATATATTTACCCGATATTTTTTATATTTTTTTGTTTATATCGAAATTGGTTTCCTTAAGTTAGGTAAATATGCATGGGTGATAGGAGCATCGATTAATTTATACTTTTTTATAGAAATTAATTAAAGCACGCATATTCATACAGGAGTCCATTTACAGCGGTTAAATTTTTTTTAGTTAACTCAGATTAACTTAAATGATTCTCAGACCAATGTCTAATAGCCATAAGGTACACAAAAGAAAATGTTCAAAAACAGCTAAAATTTTAGCCCTTTAGGGAGATACACAGAACTTTCATTGTTGTTTGCATGTGTCATAAACGAGTGGTTTTGAAAGAAAATGTGTGAATATAACAGAGAATAAAGAATAGAGAACGGACACTCTTCGCCCCTCCCTAGTTGTAGATACCGCACCACGCCCCGCACATTGCCGGTCACATAGACTGAACGACAACAAGGCTGCCGGCGAGCCGTTTTCGCGCGAAGACGGCTTTGATATTTGAATATAGTTTTCATTTACTCATTACGAAACTTGTACGTTAATATAAAACATCATTTTACGTTACTATTAATAATGGTAGTGAATTGAGCTGTGTACGGCTGTTTATCAGCGTTTTCCGAAAGATGAATAGAATAGAATAGAATAGAATAGAATAGAATACGTTTATTTGCCAGAATACAGTAATTACATAGGTCTTAAATAAAATTAGGTACATTGTATTCAATCTGCAAGCAGATGTGCAAATATTAATAGGATTTCTTGTTCAGTCTCTACCATTAATTAATTACACTTCGGATTAATTTATATTTGCATTTGAAAATTCTAAATATTCTTTATTAGTTAAATATTCTTTATTAGTATAAAAGCAATGTGTCAAAAGCCATTTTGTCAATTTTAATTTAAATGTATGTCCTTGCAATAATTTAATTTCACTTGGTAAATTATTATAAATAATACACACATGTTAAAACAGTTTCTTTTATAAATTGCTTTGTGGCAACGAGGTTGGTACAAAAGATTCATGATTTTAGCTCTAGTTTGCCTTTGAATGATTTCACCACGTGTTCTAAAATATTGAGGATAGGTCTTGACAAATACACATATATCCCTAATATACATACATGGCAAAGGCAGTATGTTGAGTTTTTTGAACAACGGTTTACAACTATCGTCAAACCACGCACCGCAGATCGCCCGAATACACTTCTTTTGGACCTTAAACGCTCTTTCTAGATCTACTGAGTTGCCCCACAGTACGAGACCGTAGCTGAGCACGGAAGAAACGTAGCCGTGATAAGCCGTCAATGCAGCTTCATGAGAGACAGTTTGTCTTAGCCTTCGTAGAGCGTAAACAAATCTATTTAGTTTCACACAAATCTGCTCAATGTGTTCTTTCCAGCTAAGGTGTTTGTCAATTGTTAATCCAAGAAAATTAAATGTGTCAACTTCGTCTACGGTATCAGTATTGTATTGAATTGTGATTGGTATAGAATTTGAATTATACGATCTAAATGTCATAAATTTAGTTTTGTTTATATTAATATTTAAGTCATTAAAGTCCATCCAATTTACCATATCTGTCAGTCCTTTGTTTATATCCGTGTTAAATGTCGTTTTATCTTTGCATTTTATCATAAGGGTTGTGTCGTCAGCAAATTGTATACATTTATGGTTAGTCGCTTTTGGGAGGTCGTTAATATATAGAATGAACAACAATGGGCCTAGCACGCTACCTTGAGGGATTCCAGCATTACTAAACGAAGTAAGTAAAAAAACTTATGTCTGAGACTCATTCAGTTATTGTTTTCTTCATTTATTTACTGCAGAGTAATATATGTATGTATAAAAAATACAGATTTATTATACCAATATAATGAGACGCCATGAGTTCGCGAATTTTCTATTCGTATTGCCCATAAATATTACGTAGGTAGTGAATATATTTAATTATTAACTAAACTTGGACAGGCAATTTCAAATACCTTAGTTACCTTACTTAAAAGTACATGTCCGAAATATAATGTTTTAAGTCCTTTTAATTTTGTAATTTTTTATTTTGTATTTTATTTTATTTTGTAATTTTTGTACTAACAATAGAATAAGATCAATCCTTTGTACTAACAAACTGGACTGTATATTGTCTGAAATAAATGATTTTTATTTATTTATTTATTTATTTTAATATGTTTTTGAAATAAATCTTCAATATTACTCTAGTTAGGGAATTAATGAAAAATATAATAATATATCGATATAAATACCTAATAGATAAGGATAATTATTAGGATTTTATTAATATAATCATAGATAACAGATTCGCGTCAGAATTTTCACTATGTTGCCGCTCTGACCACGTAACGTAATAGTGCGAGAAAGTGATGGGTAACATGGGTATGGGTAACTTCACGCACACATTTGCGCGTGTGCAGATAGCGCCTTGCTGTATGTAGTAGTAGTAGGTAAATAATTTTCGACCGTTGTATGGAGTGTCCGGGGTGCGAATATAATCAAAAAACTATTATAATGTAAGTAATTTCACAAGTTCTAAAGAGATTCATTGGGAAGGTTATTAAGCTATTGTGTGACGGTGATTGTATTCAATATTTTAAATTATCGAAGTTTTTCAATTTTAAAATACCTTAATAAAATATTTTTTCTATGTATGATGTAAATCAAATAATAACAATTAAATATTAACTTATATTGCATATACGTGGGCCGCACTATAAGTTTCCGGAATAAATAAGAAAAAAATACTATAAATGGTCAGAAATTAATTTATTGTTTCTCAAAATATTCTCCGTTAGTGTTGATGCACTTTTTCATACGAATGAACCAATTTTGAAAACATTTATGCCACTCTTCCGTGAAAATCAATGAACCATATTTTTCATACTCTTCGTCAGCCTCTTCAGGTGATGACAATCCTTGACCACGTAACTGGTCCTTAATTTTTGGAAATAAATAAAAGTCACAAGGTTGGCACCTTGTGACTTTTATTTATTCGGTCGGGTCGGGACTGCACGCGCGATAGCTCATAAGGTCAACGTTGTTCACCTTCAAACATTCATTTGTCTGTCTGCCGTGTGAGAACTGGCAATATCGAGGTGCAAGATGATACGGCGTTTACGGTTATTTTTACGAACTTTGTCAATAACTTCCGGCAAACAAATGGTCGTGTACCAATCACTATTCACGGTACAACGATTCTCCAAAGGAACAGTAGCCACGGGTCCAGTTTTATTAAAAAAAAAGAAGCAATCATCCGCTTAGAGGCACTTTGCATGCGCGCCATTTTGGTTGGTTTCGGCTCATCTCGAAAGACCCATACGCTCGATTGCTGCTTTGTTTTGGAATCGTAACTGTAAATCCATGTTTCGTCACCTGTTACTCTGTCCCACACCAAATTTGACGCCCTTTTGTTAAATCCGGTAAGCATGGCATTGCACCAAGTGACGCGATCCGTTTTTTGATCCTCAGTCAAATTGTGTGGGATCCACTGAGAGCACAGCTTTTTCCCCATATGTTTGTGTAGTATTGATTGTATTTGACTCATGCCTATGCCTAAAGATGCCTGAATGTCATGGTATGTCACATGCCTGTCTGTTTTGATCATACGGCGCACAGCATCGATGTTTTTGTTGTTCACAACAGTGGATGGGCGACCATCACGAAATTCGTGACTGAGATTCACACGACTGCGTTTGAATTCTGCAAACCAGCTATAAATAGTCGTTTTGCATGGTGCTTCATCGCCAAAAGCAGTTTGAAGCCGAGCGAAGCTCCGCTGAGTTGTTGAATTACACTTAAAGTCGTAGATAATCATACTACGAAAATTTTCAGGAGTTAAATCCATGGCGATGTAGACAACCAATATCTAAAATGACGCCATAATGTAAAAACAAGTGACAGTCAGATGAAAGAAACTGTGTTCCACAGCCAAAGAGTTCCATTTTCAAATGTTCTAATTACTTTTTAAATATTGTGTATGTAAGTTCCGGAAACTTATATATTATAATTTATGTGTAAATTACTTATGTAGTAGATATTATCCTAATATCTACCACATAAGTTGCAAAATAACAACACTTCCAGTTTGTAACATTAGTATTATAGAAAGCAACAGCGAATACTTGCGGGAGTTTTTTCGCTGCGACTGGCATTCTTACACGCACACAAATGCGCATGTCCCTACAGTGCCCTTCCTAGTTGTCACGAACACAATAAATGAAAAGCGGCTTCACACCGTTCATCCCCCATTTGCCGGTTGTTTTGTAATCTGAGGATATGTCTACCTACCTATCCCAAATAACGTCAATGTTTAATGCATTTAAGTGATTTTCTTAAGTGAGTTATAAAATTGACTAAACTATTAGGATCCCCACCAGTGGGCATTTTTAGTGGGGATTTGTGGAACATACTGGAGTACGATTATGAAATAGAAATGAAATGCTGAACGATTCTTAATTTGAGGCACATACTTACAACTCACACCTACATATTTTGTAAGGAAATACATTACTTTTCTTATTATATATATATATATATATATATCTTATGAAGGGTGTAGAAGTCTATACCGTGTGCGTGGTGAGGGCGTGCAGATCGGCGACGAATAACGTGAGCCTGTCGCCATTGTCTTGCGCGCGCACGCAGCGCCGCAGTGAGCCGAAGAGGTTACCGACATGTAGCGCACCTGTCGGTTGCAGCCCCGACACGACATGCCGCTGCCACTCGCCCTCCACTTCAGTAACGCCCGTCACTTTGTTCTTGGTCCCCTTCTGATCCTAAGTACAATAGTCTAAGTCAGTTTGCTTTATTGAAATGGATATAGAAGAACACTTGACAGCTTGACTTGCTCAAATACTATTAACATGCATGGAGTACTGTTGCCACCTTTGGGATGGCTCTGCTACATATCAACTGGCCACTTTGGATTCAATTGACAATTGTACCAAGAGGCTTACAGGTAACTCGGAATTAATGGAGGCAAAGATGCGGAGCCTTGAACACCGCCGTAAAGTTGCCTGCTTATCGGTATTTTACGTTATATATCACGGAGAGTCTGTGATGGAATTACAAGATTTAATTCCACCTTCCCCTTTCCATCACCAGGGGACTAGGCGTAGGCTTGAGTTCCACTATGTTGTACACACACACAGTACACACCTATGTTGTGTATATTCCAAAAATGGCGAGCGGCTATGGAGTGGAATTTACTGCCTGCAGACTTGTTCCTCGAACGTTATAACTTGGACCTTTTCAAGGTGAGAGTAAATAGGCATTATTTAGGTGTGCATGTTCCATCGTCGACCTCATCGTCACTTTCCATCAGGTGAGTTGGAGGTAAAATGCGCACGTATATTGTATAAAAAAAACGGTTTGTAAGAAATACATAGTCTTTTTACAAAACTTGGGGCACAAAAGACTAGAGTGGTACTAACTATTCATGGACTACCTACTGTTTATTAATTATAAATATAGTATGATAAAGTCAGATGGATGATGAGGATATGTGGCTGTGTGCAGGGTGCAAATGACATTACATAGTTGGTTGTTAATTGAACTTCCCTGGCATTCTTGATGGAAGTAGAATATCTTAGACTAGGACACTTGGTTTGAACTATATTAAACAGTTTCATATCCTACAAAAAAGTTTTGAAACAATTTTTACAAAGTCCATGGTTGAGTGGCTTGCACGATGGTTTTCATGGTTTTGCCATCCCAGGGGTCCCGGGTTTAATCCCCAACTGGGTCAGGTTTTGGTATTTCTAGAACCATCATTGTATTCAATTTCCATAATACCCTTGCTTTTGTTGTTTACTTTGGGATCAGAGCAAAGTATGCAACATTGTCCAATATTGGTTTATTTTAAATTAGATTTCTTAAGGCAATGCCTACTATGACTTAAGCCAGTCATGATGAAAGTTAGAAACGACCTACCTTACCCAGAATGCATTACTTTACTTTTTTTTTTGTCTTTAATTTAAAAGTAAAATAAAATAAAGACAAAACAACAACAGGTTGCAAACAGGTTGCAGTCAAACAGGTTGCAGTCAGTGTATATGAACTCTTCAATGGATTTAAGGATATGCAGCGGTTTACCTGCCCAGAAGATCAACTCATTGTGTCTCACCCTTATCATCGGTGAATAAGTATAATATACAGTTTATAAACAAACCACAACTACATTTGAACTACACCTACACAAGGCAGACCCAAAAAGCTTATTCAACGCTCAATGCCAGTTTAGCTAAGAAATTTTCAATTCCAGTAATTAGGTGTTTGTCCTTTAGACTGTTATTGTCCATAATTAACCAATAAACACCTAAGTATTTAATTTACATATAATAATAATAATTCATAACAGATAATTACATCCATAGTATTATATAATTGTTAGTAAGGCTAATAACTTTTTAGTAACTTTGCATGATGCAATTAGCTCTGCATGACCTACTACAGTGTTCCGGCATAGCCATTCACAAGGCGGAGCATAAGCTCATCCTCAAGTCCTAGATTATATTTTTGGCGAGATTTGGTAGCAAGAAGAAAAACTGTATCCACGCAAAATAAGCACTACGAATGTCGAGTTGTGTAAATTAGCTCTACGATACTACACTGGTGTAGGTCTGACTATTGTTGCCTTGAGGTTATAAACCCACCACACACGAAGCGGCGGCGGTGCTAGAAGAACAGGAGCGTCGACTTGTAGTTGGTACACAACGCTTAGTGCGTACTACACTTCGCTGTATAAGTGACATCCTCAATATAGTATTAAATAACTGCATAAATAATCATTTTAGAGATACTACAGCACAAGACAAATCTGTGATGTTTTTTTTCTAATTTCTTGGCACTTGGCAGCAGTGTTGCCATATTTTTGCGAAGTTAATTCGCTCATTTATGTGTGTTAAGTAGCCGAAATTCGCCCAAGCCATAAAATCCAGTGAGCATAATAAAATCCCTAAAAATCAAGGAAAACAATTCTACAATTCTGCTTGCTGCCGGAAATTGGGGAATATGAACTCTCTTATTTCCCCAATTTCCCACACGTAGAAATGCTCATACCCCCAAATGAGTTGTTTTACAAATCCATTCCCCACAAAATCCCCAACCAAGTTTGTCATTCCCCAGATATGTGATTAAGTAGCCTAAAATCGCCTTCTCATATTTCAAACATAGCCTACCTAAGTATCGCTGAGTCGCCGATCACTTTTTTAGTCGCCGCTCGACCCACTCAAAGTAGCCTAAATGGCGAAAAATCGCGTAATCTGGCACCATTGCTTGGCAGCCCTATATCTTTCTAATTTATTGCAAACCAAATTTCTCGATCATATAATTTCACGAAATTCAGCCGTTAAGTGGCCAGCTCAATCATATATAACACCGCTGGATTATTTTTTATGGGGTTATGTTAAAGACAGAGTCTATACGGAGCTAGTCAAACCGATTGCAGTCTTAAAACTTAAAATTCGTGAAAGGATTAACGAAATAGACCCACCATTTTGTAAAAAAGTGATTAAAAACTTTGATGATAGAATCGACATCTGTAACTGAGGTCGTGGTCTTAGAGCTCAGAGGATGGAAAAAGGTCGTGGTGGACATTTATTAGACATCATTTTTCATTCATAATTGCCAAACCTTACTTTTTTTTAATACAATAATAATTTGTCATCTAAATTTATTGTTTTGTTTTGATTTACAAAAAAAAGTTCTTGTTGAAACTCCTATATTATATGGATCACGTGGCTTGAAATAAAATAAATTAAAAAAATTGGTTAGTTTTTTTTTTAAAACAATAAGTGCGCATTTAACCTCCATCTCACCTGATGGAAAATGACGATGAGGTCGAGGATGTAGCATGCACACCTAAATAATGCCTATTTACTCTCACCTTGAAAAGGTCCAAGTTATAACGTTCGAGGAACAAGTCTGCAGGCAGGAAATTCCACTCCATAGCCGCTCGCCATATAAATGTGGAAGGGAAACACTTCGTGCGGATCCGGGGAATATTCACAACATAGGGGTGGAACCTCCACCCACGTCTAGTCTCCCGATGATGGAAAGGGAAAGGCGGAATCAAATTATGCAATTCCATCGCACGTGATATATCCTGTGGAACACCGATAAGCTGGCAACTCTACGGCGGTATACAAGGCTCTGCAGCTTCGCCTCTACTAGTTCCGAGTCATCTATAAGCCTCTTAGCACGCTTGTCTATAGAATCCAAAGTGGCCAGCATTAGCGGGTATTTAGCAGAGCCATCCTGTGGCAGCAGTACTCCATATACTTTTGCTTGGTACAGCTGAAGCAACTGCCTCGGTGTGAAGTATTGCCTCACCTTGGAAAGGATGCTAAGCTTCCTTGCTGCATTTTTGGCCATGGATTCAATATCAATATCAATTCAACAGCTGAAGTTCAGATAGGACGACAGGTCCATTCCAAGTAGATGAAGACGATCGGCTATCGGTAAGGATATATCACGAAAAGTCGGAGTCAGGTGAAAGGGACTCCGTTTAGTGAAGAAAAGACACGCCTGCGTTTTGCTAGCATTAAATATGACAAGATTGGCATCGCTCCAATCGGAGACTGCCGTAAGTGTCAAATTCAAACGACTAACCATGGATTATCGACAAGACTGGATTTCTTCTCCACTGACCCTTGCATTGGTCAAGTACCTGTCCATAACTGTGCTGTTGTAGTTTTGTATGAAAAAATATTATATGAAATTTGATCAACTTCTACAGTCCCGAATTTTTCGTCTCATACAATGAAATAATCCCTTAATGAAACTGAGTCGAAAAGCACTAGAAAAATTTTGATAAATTTTATTCATTGTTATGAACAATTTAATTTTTTCGTAAACAATAAAACTCCTTGTGAAAGAGTTCGTCCACTGAAGTACTGCCACCTTACCAATTTCTGCCGCCAAGCAGTAATGTTAGCAGTACTGTGTTCCGGTTTTGAAGGGTAAGGGATGCTGGTGAAATTACAGGCAAATGAGTCTTGTCAACTTATGCGTCAGGGTGACGGGCGCAGTGGCAGTGCCCCTCAGATTTTTGCGATTTGAAGCTCTGAGTGGCACTGCAACTGTTATGGACAGGCGTGTAGCCTACCATCAGGTGCACGACTTGTTCGTCCCGTCACTTGATATTATAAAGAAAAAAATGGACAATTCATGCTTGATTAAAAAATTGATTTTGCCAAAATTATTTTCACAAAAAAGACTTAATGGTTCCTAAGAATGTTTCCTTGTATTTTTTTATTTTCGGATTTCCCTATTTTGTCCCATTTAAAAAAAAAACACTATTATCGATTTAATTTTCTTTTCCATCCTCTAAGATTTCATTGATCTACATAAATAAATTGTTTTATATTTTACATTCTGTTTGTCAATTACATTCACAGTAACCGTAATAGAACCGAATTAAATTCATTTGTTACAACGCCACAACACAAAAATATAAAAAAGAAATAAAAAAAGTCAAACTAAAACATAACAAAAAATAAAATGACAAATAAAAAACAACGAAACAAACATAACCCTATGACGAGAGAAAAAATGGCGGGTTTTAATTGTTATATTTTTTACACGTTTTCATTTTTAGCTTGTGTATATTACCTCGTGCGTTTCTTGATTATTTGTTACCATTAAGCTGATGGCTCTGAAATCAATGCTTTATAAATAAATAAATAATAAATTAATAAAAAAATAAATCATACTTAATTCTATATAATTAAGCAGTCTTCTCAATTTCAATAAATGTCATGTGTGCGTTTGTGGCGCATGTAAAAGAGTCCACTCAGCTAATGTCACAGCCGAGCATCGAGTATATGGTTATGATGCAGCCGAGTAAAGACTGTGACGCTGATTTTCAGTGGATACTAGTTTAATAAATAAATGGTATATAATAAACATATGGTTACAGTATGAGTTTCTTAATTCTTTGTTACATTTTTAAGCGATGGATTTACAATAAATGATGAAAACTCGAGGTGTGGAGAATTTATGAGGAATATCAACATTGCTCTCCCCAAATTTGGGGATTTTAACATTAATGTTTGGGGATTTTGAACAATTGGCATTGCCAACGCCGCGCTTGACGTTTCTTTGACTGGGATTCGCTCTAGACCACAAACTAATAAGAGATCTGGTAAGAGATTTTGTGAAATCTAGTTTAAAGTGGAATAGGATAGCTGTTGTGCCTTAATCGAAAATTAAAACGCGAAATTATACGAATCTCGAACTAAAATACCCGTATCGGCCCGTTTTAAGGAATCCTGAGTCAATCCAAGCACGCCGCCTCAAATTGCCTATCCTCTTTGTGGC